ATGACACTGTAAATGACACTGTAAACGACACTGTAAATGACACTGTAAATGACACTGTAAATGAAACTGTAAATATGGGTTCCAGAGGGTCGCGGGGTAGGGTCTGGGGTTCGAACCTCACCGGGTGACACCATTTGAGAGGGGGGGGGTGGTGACACCAAGACAAAAATGCAAGATACATTGAATAAATGTTGGTGTTTTTGCCAGTTCAATGAAAGATTATTTAGAATTAAAAAGTATTTTAAGTACATATTTATTATCCCGACAAGGGGGTATGGGGTTACACTATGAGGTAAACATGCAAACTATAGCGAAAATAATGCTACACAAACTATCATAGATAAATATCGTTAGTATTAAATGTGAACACTTTAAAGCGTTTAAAGGGAGGGGCGGGGTGAAAACGACAGCAAAATTTGAAGTGGAAAAAAGGTGGGTGATATCATGAGGTGTCGCACCGGGTGACACTCGACCTAATGACGCCACTGATGGGTTCTAACAAAGACGCTAAGTTTGTGGTTTCCGGATAAAACGCTATCCACTTGAACATGTCTGTCTATCAACTTTGGAGGGTAAATTGTTGGAAAATGTGAAAATCTCATTTTAACTACCGTATCTGGTGAATTAATTTAATGTGCCCGCTAACAAAAAATCTCCCACAAATGTCAGATTATGTTATTACATGTCGAGCTTAGATAAACATGATTAACGTTTTCGACAATGACAAATAGCAAAGCACTCTTTCATTTGAAAATAAAACTTTAAAAATGTGTACTACCGTTTTGAACAGAATAAATAAAGTATTAAAACGGTGCCCTGTCAAAACGGCCCGGGACAAATCGGCCCCGTCAAAACGGCCCCGTTAATACGACCCCGTCAAATCGACTCCCTACAAACCAACCCCGTCAAAATAGCCCCGTCAAAAGGGCCCCGACTTATTGGCTCCCGTCAAATGGGCTCCCGTCATATTGACTTGCGACATATAGGCTACCGACAAATGGTCTCCCGATATTTAGGCTCCCGACAAATGGACTCCCGACATATTAACCCCTGACAAATAGGCTCAGGACATATTGGCTCTCGACAAAGCGGCTCCCGACATATTGGCTCCCGACATAAGGGCTCAAGACAAATGGGCTCCCGGCAAATGGGCTCACGACATTTTGGCTACCGACAAATGGGCTCCCGACATATTGGCTCCCGGCAATTGGGCTCCCGACATATTGGCTTTTGACAAAATGACTCCCGACATATTGGCTCCAGAAAAATGAATGATATGACCACTATTGGCATAAAAGTAACCATTGTGTCCTACCTCCAATACCACCATAACCTCTTTTTAATGCCCGAATAAAATTATTTTTTCATGAACCAACATTAATTCACAAACAAATCGAGCCCTTAACAGCTAAATTCCACCAATTCTAAAGTTTTGATAATGTTTAATTTACAACAGAAAAGATCTGCTGCTTAAAAGCGAGCACAGAAGTGTAAATGTATGATATACATAAAGTTAACATGATAACAGCATTTTGTTTTGATAACCTACAAGCACAGTGGCGTAGCGAGGTCGGATGTCACCCGGTGCGGCACTTAATGGTGTCACCACCCCCCCCCCCAGAGGCGTTGCGACCCTTTCCGGGGACAAACTTTCAAGTTTTCGATTTGCACCCCCCCCCCCAAACTTTTGATTTGCACCCCCCCCCCCCTTCAACTTTTTCTCTATATATTTTGCTATTTTTTACCTTGGTGTCACCCCCTAAATGGTGTCACCCGATGCGGTCCGCACCCCCCGCCCCCCCCCCCTCGCTACGCCCCTGTACAAGCATATTGCAGTTAGGAAGGTACAGCGTGGACCCTTCTCCCCACACAATGAGTTGGAACAGCCTATAAATGACTCAATTATGTATGTCATAGATAGATGACCCTTAAATTAAAACATACTATATTTTATAATAGATAAACTAATATAAAAATAAGGCCTGCCGAACAAGAGATGCATACGTTGTATTACATAAGAGTGTTGGATAAGCTAACTCTAAAGAATATTGATGAAGGGGTCCCACTGGCAGATGTCATATTCAATGAGACCGCTTTGCCGGGAGACTTAGTCTCTACAGAAACGGTATTGTATAATACAGTTGGATGTAGCATTGTTTTCTTTATAGTTTACGTTTACGTCGTGGTGTCACCCCCCCCCCCCCCCTCTTGATATAATTTTCGATTTGTACTTAGAAGACTATTTAACTTTAACTAATGGATCTGGAGAATGGCATTTCATTCTATAAATTTTACAATTTTTTGCCTTTGGTGTCACCCCCCCTAAATGATGTCACCCGTTGCGGTTCGCACCACCCGCCTCGCCTTCGCTACGCCTCTGCGTTAGGCTACAGAGGAGTTAAACGAAGAGATCAACTTCTACTTACGATGGATATTTTTTAATATATAAATATTCTGAAGGCAACATTTTGTATTTTATATGTCCTGATTTTGTATTTATACTATATTATTATGCTTGCCTACTACTGCTAAAAAGTTTATTTATAGGCTGATTCTCTCAATGTCTTGCACGACAAAGTGATATCGCCTGTAGTGTTATTATAACGATTGGGCTCTGTTTGACCCTCAAACACTGAATCCCACTGCCGAAACGGTGGGGGGGGGGGGGCTTTTTGGAACTTTTAACCTTTTTCTTTTTTTAAATTATTTATATGTAACAAATATTAAAATTCCATTGTAAAAGTTTTAATTTTTTATGAGGGAAAAGGGCCCCTATGTGCCTTGGGCCCCCATGCCTTGCTTACGCTAGCTTTACGATAGCTACGCCACTGTGACAGTGGTCCTTTTGTCTGGAGCCAAATTGACAGGAGCCTTTTTGTCGGGAGCCAAAATGACGCTAGCCTATTTGTCGGGAGTCGTAATGACTGGGGCCGTTTTGTGGAAAAAACTAAATGACGGGAGACTATATGTCGGGAGCCAAAATGACGGGAGCCTATTTGTCAGGAGCCTTATTGACTGGAGCCCTTTTGTCGGGAGCCTATATAACGGGAGCCTATTTGTCGGTAGCCTAAATGACGGGAGCCTATTTGTCGGGAGCCTATATGACGGGGTCCATATGTCGCTGGCCCTTTTGACGGGGCCGATTTGACGGGGTCGTTTTGACGGGGTCGTTTTGTCGGGGTCGTTTTGACGGGGCCGTTTCGTCATTGGCCGAATTGACGCCGCACGGCCTTATTACAGTGATAGTTTGGTTAGATGTATACTTTATCGATCTGGGGCACATATATATAATGATACTTTAAGCCTCATGTAACATAATTGGATTCGGGCTAGTTTTATAAAACATTGATTTAGTTTTCAAAATAATATAAACAATACTTATATGTGCTTATTAATAAAATAATAAGGGGGGCTTCGTGGTCGAATGGTAGAACATACGACTGGAATGGTAGAACGTACGACTATTAACCCAAAAGTTTCTTTTTCAAATCCGGGTTCAAGTCCGTGGATCGTCCACCTAGCTCTGATGGGTACCTGAATCACATTTGGTAAATTAAAGGCAGCTGGGTATAGTGCTAAGTACTTTATGTGTCAAGTCACAGAACTTTACTTCCTTGCCTCATCTACTGACAGGTTGGAAATTGTACTTTACTTGAAGGTTGGAAAGGGTACTTTACTTGAAGGTTGGAAAGGGTACTTTACTTGAAGGTTGGAAAGGGTACTTTACTATAAGGTTAGAAAGTGTACTTTACTTTAAGGTTGGAAAGTGTACTTTACTTTAAGACTTTAAGGTTGGAAAGTGTACTTTACTTTAAGACTTTAAGGTTGGAAAGTGTACTTTACTTTAAGGTTGGAAAGTGTACTTTACTTTAAGACTTTAAGGTTGGAAAGTGTACTTTACTTTAAGACTTTAAGGTTAGAAAGTGTACTTTACTTTAAGGTTGGAAAATGTACTTTACTTGAAGGTTGGAAAGTTTCTTTACTTGAAGGTTGGAAAGGGTACTTTACTATAAGGTTAGAAAGTGTACTTTACTTTAAGGTTGGAAAGTGTACTTTACTTTAAGGTTAGAAAGTGTGCTTTACATTAAGGTTGGAAAGTGTACTTTACTTTAAGGTTAGAAAGTGTACTTTACTTTAAGATTAGAAAGTGTACTTTACTTTAAGGTTGGAAAGTGTACTTTACTTGAAGGTTGGAAAGTGTACTTTACTTTAAGGTTGGAAAGTGTACTTTACTTTAAGGTTGGAAAGTGTACTTTACTTTAAGGTTGCAAAAGTGTACTTTACTTTAAGGTTATAAAATGTACTTTACTTTAAGGTTTGAAAGTGTACTTTACTTTAAGGTTAGAAAGTGTACTTTACTTTAAGGTTGTAAAGTGTACTTTACTTGAAGGTTGGAAAGTGTTCTTTACTTTAAGTTTGGAAAGTGTACTTTACTAAAGAAGGAAATATCTTAACAATCGACACAGAACAGAGAGACAGATGGGTACAGCACTTTGATGAGATTTTAAACCATCCTCTCTCATCAAACATCCCCGATATACCACCTGCAAATCAACTACTAGATGTATGTACAGATCCACCCACAAAGTTAGAAACAATAAGAGCAATAAAAAACATGAAAAATGGCAAAGCAGCTGGCCCGGACGGCATCCCACCAGAGGCACTCAAGGCAGACCCAGCCATATCAGCAGACATACTACATTCTCTACTTAAGCAGATTTGGGAAGAAGAGATAATCCCATCTGACTGGAAACTGGGATACCTGATAAAACTGCCAAAGAAGGGAGATCTGACACAATGCAACAACTGGAGAGGGATAATGCTTTCAGTTCCAAGTAAGGTTCTGACAAGAATCATCCTAGAGAGACTTAGAGATTCCTTTGACAAAAAGCTGAGACAAGAACAGGCTGGTTTTCGTAAGAACAGGTCATGTACTGACCACATTGCCACGCTGCGCATCATTATCGAACAGTCCCTTTGAGTGGATATCCCCCTTATACATGACTTTTGTCGACTTCAAAAAGGCGATTGGCAGTGTGAATAGAGATGCTATCTGGAAGTTAATGAGCCACTATGGAATACCCAAAACATTTATATCTATCACACAGAAACTATATGAAGACTCCACCAGTCAGGTAATACACAAAGGAAAGCTAACAAAACCAATCACGGTGACGACGGGAGTAAGACAGGGATGTATGCTATCACCAATGATATTCTTGATGGTAATCGACTTGATCATGCTGAGGGCCACAAAAAACGACACAGGAATCCAGTGGAGTTTCACAAAAAGGCTGGAGGATCTTGATTTTGCCGATGACATCTGCCTACTATCTCATAAGCATCAACACACGCAAGCCAAACTAAATCGGCTGTCTGAAGAAGACTCCAAAATTGGACTAAAAATCAATAAATACAAAACAGAGGTCAGAATCAATAACAGTCAGGACCTGCCCATATAGCTAAATGGAGAAGATTTACGAGAAACAAACATATTCACATATCTGGGAAGTATGATCAATAAAGACGGGGGAGCAGACGAGGACATATAATGCCGTATCAACAAGGCTAGAGGTGCCTTCAACTCACTGCGCCCGATGTGGAGGTCCACGACCCTGTCACTCCGGAGCAAAATTGGGATTTTCAACACAAATGTTAAGGCAGTGCTGCTCTATAGCTCGGAGACCTGGAGGGTTATGAAGACAAATACTGATAGGCTACAGGCGTTCGTAAACAAATGCTTACGACATATACTAAAAATAAGATGGCCAACAAAATATCAAACACAGACCTGTGGCAAATTTTAAAGCAACAGCCAATAGAGAAAGATATAAAGGCCCGTAAATGGGGATGGATCGGACACACGTTAAGAAAAGAAAAAGAAAACATCGCAAAACATGCATTGGACTGGAATCCCCAGGGGAAAATGAGGGTGGGCCGGCAAAGTAAAACATGGAAGAGAACGGTTGAGGAAGAGGCGAAAACAGCTGGGCTCTCATGGGCACAGATTAGAGGAGCAGCCCAAAACCGAGTCCTCTGGAGATGTGTGGTTGCAGCCCTTTCCTCCCCAGGGGCCGCAAAGGAGTGATGATGATGATGAAGATTGCACCTTCTACAAACCGCCCCCTAAAGTTTTCTGATTTGCTTCTATTTTTAATTCGTTTTCGGCTACCTCGTGAGCATTGGCATCGGCATCACTTAGTCATTGCTTTAATTTTTAAAAAACTAAATTCTTAATGTGACGAAGCAAACAATAAGCTAATCGGTACAAAGAGAGGTACAAAGGTAGATCAGTTAGACATTGATAGAGCAGAACCAAAAGCATGCAATGGAACGAACTGACCGGTCACGTGTGACAGTCATCTGATCAGTGAAGCGGGGGTCAGTAGTGGGTCATCGATAGCGTCAGGTAGTTGGTCAGTAAAGGGTGTAATGTTCAGATGTGCGTCAGACGGTTGGTAAGTAGAGGGTGTAACTAAGCAGCTGCAAATAGTTATTATTAGGATATAGTTGAGTTGAACTGGAGATTAGTTAGCTGGAAGTAAACTAAATAGTACAGTAGAACAGGAGATTGATTTCTGTTTGAATAAATAAACATTACAGCATTTCTTGAATTGTACTTTGGTTGATTTCTCACACTGTGCCAGGCTACCTAAGATTAAGAAAAGTAGATCCCAAGAACATGAATATATTAGAGTATACATTACGGTGCTTGAATAATATGTATATATATATATATATATATATATATATATATATATATATATATATATATATATATATATATATCCCCCTCTTCCTCTTTCCCCGTGGATACTACGCCACATCCAGTGTTTCTTCCAGACTTTTTTCTCCGGGGGGGGGGCACTTGAAATTTTCGGGGGGGGGGGGGGCGGTAAACTTTCTTCGAGGGGGCGGACACTGTTAAAAGTATATATTTTCTATATAAGTTATATAAATTTCATTTCGTTCGGGGGGGGGGGGCGGTAAATTTTTTTCGGGGGTGGCCCCCGAAGAGATGCCTGGAAGAAACTCTGGCCACATTCTGCACAAGGGAGTTATAACCCCCAGTTGACGTTGTGACATATCCACCACCTTTTCGTTTCTCTTTTTTTCATTTTCCACTGTCTGTTACCCTCTGTCTCCGAGCCCTACAGTAAAAACGACTTTCATATTTTAGCTAAAGATCCTGATTTAATTTTTTTTTTATTGCAGTTCGTATGTTTCGTGTAGTTTGTTTCATTATTCAGTCAACACATTGCCTTTGTCTCATTCCAATTTGTACTTTATATGTTTGTAGTTATTCGCTATTGTGCATCAGTTGGTATTATGAGTAGTGGTATAGTTAATGAATAATTGAAATACAATTATCCATAACCGACACAGTGTGCCTCATACGTTTGCATACTACATTCCTGTCTACACTATCAAATACCTTTTCAACATTTATTTAAAATGTACATATAATTAAAAGTATGATAATCCATTGTGTTGCAATGTGACGTGTGCACGAGTCGCTACTAAACATGCCTGCTCCTGCCCGATGATTTTACAGTCTAACATTCGAGTTTGATCACACATAGCACTTTAATGGGTTTATACAACATTTATACTTTGTAGGATGAATATTACTGTTCCTACAATGTTATACTCCAACTATGAATTTATAGATATTAGAGATTTTTCAAAACACCATAAAAATGACTAGTTGTGTTAGTTTGAGAGATACTTTTAAAACCACGTATACAAATGCAAGGTATTTTTTTTCATTGATAGACAAATATTAAGTACAAAGATATAATTTTAAAAAGATAAAATTCAAATTAAATATTTTAAATCTTCTTTTTTTCAGGTGTATTTTTTATGAAATGCATCACCGAAAATCACCATTTATTTATTTTCAAACCTAAATCGTACATGCTTCCAGAATAAGAAGCTGGTGTTATCCGTTCTCTTGGAAGTTTTCACTCAGATAAGGCTACCAGCTATAAACTTTTCGATTTGAACCCCCCCCCCCCCCCCGCAAGATTTCGATTTGCAACCCCCCCCCCCTCAAACTTTTGATATGCACCCCCCACCCCCACCCCACTCAAACTTTCGATTTGAACCCCCATCAACCTTTCAATTTATTTTTCCAAACCATTTTGGCGCCCCAACATATGTCTTGTAACGTATTGTTAAAGTTAAAGCCGACAGAAAATTAGCTTTAGAACGCGTTAAACATTGGAATGGGAACACAATCTTCTTCGATAGGCCGCCATTATCGATGTAAAAAAAATAAACACGTCATGTGACGTCACTGTTTCCGTCGAGTCTAGTGGCTTTTCAAATCTTTTTAAAAAAAATTGTGGTTAATATACGTATGAATAAATCAATAAATTAATTAACGTCTTTAAATAAATTTGTGATTAACAGTCTGTCTGCATTAAAAAAATATTCTCTACCTACATACTATTTTACAGCTCTCCAGATAGAGTAGAACATATCACAATACTCGATCAGCCAAACAAAAAAACAAACAAACAAACAAAAAAATAAATATTCAAACATGTAAACAAACTTGACTTTTAGTAGTATATAGATAGATTTAACAGTTAATTTTGTATATCACATTTTAAATAATATCAGCATAATGGAAGACCATGCATACACATCTTGGGTTTTCGTGCACTCGTGTTACTTGTTTAAAGTACTGTAACTCATTAGGAAAAAATAAAAACAAATTATTAAAAATTAATTGCATATAAATTAGAAACTGTTTTAAACCAACAGTGATGTTTGCTTAAAAGCATTGTAAGCATTTTGTCGGTGCATTTAATCACAATGATTGTTAGGTGTCACGTGTTAAAATGCAACATTTATTTGTAAATGTAAAATTTTAATATTTTAAATTGATCTAAAACGAATACACTATATTACACTGCAAGAAGTGCGTGTAGTTTTCATATTAAATTACGAAATTGACCATCCACTGTTGTTTAAAGAACATAAAAAATATGTACACAACATATTAATTTCAGCATAACAATTTTATTAACAAACCAACACTGTGTATTGTTATTAAGCTTATTGTTGTAAATTTTTGTTATATTGACATTTTAATTAAGTAAATGTACTCATATTATATATTTACAAAATATATTTGTGAAATGTAATCTAAATGTAGAAATGCAGAAATGTATGTTTGTATTATTACTTAAACTACTACATTATGTTACACAGCTAGATGTTTTTTTTTTCGTTTTTGCATTTAATTGTTTTTTTCTGTTTATTTGAAATGTATTATGTATACCTACCGTTTTATTAAAAGCATTCGAATAAAATTGCAGAAAGTACATTTTTTTAAGGAGCAAAGAGTATGTTCTTGCCTTTTAAGTAGCTTTAAGCTTTTGCGAAGTTCATATGAAAAAGTACATTTCTTTAAGAGCAAAAAGTATTTTCTTGCCACTTAAGTAGCTTTTATGAAGTTCCCATCAAAAATTACATTTCTTTAAGGATCAAAGAGTATTTTCTTGCCACTTAAGTAGCTTTTGTGAAGTTCCCATTTTGTCTTGGAACTGAACACCGGACGCTCATAATAGCTAATGAGCGCTACACGAGTTTTCCCACGGCATTCCATTGTAATTCAATATTATTCTGTACTCTAAAGCTAATGTCTACATGGCAGTGGATAATCAACTTTCTTATTAGTCTATGCACTCATATAGTTATTTTTATAAAATTAATTGTTGAATGTTACACAATAAGTAAATTTTGATACCTTCCCTTTATTATCGACCGAATGCACGATTATTAAGCTACAAGTTCTTTGTGGATGTTGTGTTTAATTAATTATTGATATTATGGATATTTGTTATTTTATAAATAAAACAGTTTTTAAACACTTAAATGAAAGTAATAACTTTAAATAAATAGAGAATTTTTAAACTATAGAAATTTTTAATTTTAAATCTAGTTATATATTTGATTCATTGAATTTAAATACGATCATATTTAAATTATTTTTATAAAATTTTAACATATCTATACTATTTCTATACTATATTGATAATAATTGTTTATATTTTAAAAGTTTATTAAATTTAATTATTTAATATATTTGATGAAATATATTTTAGTGAAACAAAAATGTAATATAGTTTTTTTTTAAATTGGAGTTAAACCAATTTAGCCACCACCTAGACAGTTATATATTTCGTATAACATTCGATATTATTATTAAAATATTATATTATTATTATACTAAAATAATAATTTAAGAAAATACTTAACTCATTTATCAAACAATTTCATGGTTTTGCTTGTATGGTACTTATTTACTTGTATGTTTTGCTGTAATATCTTTCTAATCTCGATCAACTGAAGTTTTCACGTGGTTTTAATAAAAAAACCAAAGAGAAAGTGAGAAAGAAGTAAATAATTTTACATTTTGTGTTTCGATGGTAGGATTGGTCTGCTTTAAAATAAATTTAAAAACAAAAAAAACTTTAAAATTACAATTGAAGTGTTATAAGCATGTTAATGGATTAACCATAAATGGCATCAATGTTTGGCTGTTAAATTCTAAAAACATTCTGCACTTTCGTTTATACTGGGGTTCTCCACAACCGAATACAGTTTTTAAAAAATCCGATTCGTATGAGAGAGGAAAAAGAAACTTTATCTTTAGTAAAAATTGAAGAATATGTGTTTGAAATTTTGTTTTTGTTTTAATGAATTTAAAAAAAAAATATATGTATTTTAAAATTTCTTAAGATATGGAGTGTGGTAGTTGAAGTTAAATAGTTTATAAATTTTTTTATTTTTCTAAATAAAAGATAATTATTTAACTTGTTATTTTATTAGCGCTATTTTAGATTCAGCACAACATAATGTTGTCGAATCCGGGTTCAAGTCAGTAGACCGTTCCTGAGTCCACCCAACTATGATGGGTGCCTAACTCACGTTAGGGAAAGTAAAGGCGGCTGGGCATAGTGCTGACCACACTATCTCTTCATATGCCGAGGTCACAGTAACAAGTGAACTCTACTTCACTTGCCCCATGGACCGTCAGGTTTGAAAGGGAAGCTTCACTTTACTTTACAACAAAATGTGAAGTACCTAAAAGGAGAAATTATTTTGTAATTGTTACTTGTGTCAGTGTTTTATGTCATTGATGTTAATGGAAGTTAATAAATTTAAAAAAGTAGTATTTCTCTTTTCATTTATAATAATCTTATAGATGTATAAATCTATACACTAAGGTCACCATAGTTTTCTTCAGTATCTCGATTGTATCGAAGTATAATATTTCACATTTTCATATAATTTCTACTATATTAAAGTGTAATATTTCACATGTTTGGACCACTTCAACACGCAAATGATAAAACCGATCGGTAACATTGAAGTAATTGTTCTTTTGTGTCCATACTGCTCTTCATTACATTATAATGCAAAGTACAGTCTGATACAGTTTAATAAAATAAATCCGGAGTGATTTCCCATAAGAGGTTTTTAAAAGACATTTTTCATAATTTATTTTTATTACATAAAATACAAAATACAATATCATTATAATGATAAGCAAAATAACATACACTGTATTAAATGCATTCATCATAATTTTACAACGCTTTTTAATTAGATGTCAAATAAAAAAAAAGCTTCGTTCAAATAATTAGTTTTCTAACAGGCTCAGTTACGAGATTTTGTAATTTAAACAAAGTGAATGTTCACCAGGGGCAGAACTACCATGCCACCAGACACCCAATGCAGAGGACTCAGACAGTATTAGCGACAATTATTAAAACTAGATCTAGAGAAATTTATTGTGTACTCAAATTAGAAGAACTGTTGAAAATTGATAATAGTGTTTGAACATAATACAAATAGCAAATGGACGAATCGTTAAAGTTATAGCCGACGGAAAATTAGCTTTGTAATGCGTTTAACTTTTGAATGGGCAACAAAATCTTCGATGGAAGTCGCCATTATTGTCATAAAAATTAAATAAATCGCGTGATGTCACTATATGTTAAGTCATTGTTTTGTAAATTTATAATTAAAGTGGTAAATCTACCAATGATTATATTAATAAATTAAGCAACGTCTTTAAATTAATTTGTGATTAACAGTTTGGTAAAAAAGAACATTGTTCTCTACTTAAATACTATTTTACAGCTCTACACATAGTGCAGATTCTCTCCTGTAACCAAACAGACAAAAAAAAACACACACAAAAAAAAAACAAATAAATATACAAACAAGTAAATAAACTTAAGTTTTTGAAGTATACAGATAGCTAGATAGATAAAAATACAAGTACAATCCAGTAACAGAGTGATATGGTGACGGCTTACATTCTTCTATACAGGCACACCATTGTCCACCTTACACTCCCCCTTTTATATCCTTCACTAGCCGTCGGTACCCGTTAGTCGTGAAGTAGAGGTCTATATATTTTTAATGTTATAGGCCTACATTTTTCAGAAGAATATTTTATAAAATAGTAATTGGTCAAAACGCAATGTGCTTTACTACAGGTTTAACGATATTAGTGACAACTCAAAGAAATAACTAAATAGATAAATGTCCGACACATTTAAAATAACATAGGCTACTAATACCTATTAGAAAAATTAAAACCAAATTATATACATAATTAGTCAACACCATATTAAATGCACTAATTGATTAAAACCTTAAATGATCCCGTTAAAAACCCACATTTTCAATGGAATTTATGTTGTTTTTTAAAAGTAATTGGACAGTGAAGCATTTTCTATGTAGGCAAACAAAATATGTTGACCAGCTGAAAGAGTGTTTATTTATGTACTGGTCGCATTGAGTTTTCAAAAGGTTGCTGTGTGAAAGATGAGGGGAAAGAAGCAAGATTTAGAAATTTAAATAAGTAAATGAATAAATATTCGAAATGGATGTTGGGGTGGGTGATGGGGTCGTTGGAACAGTTAAAGGAAATGTGGGGTTATCATGTCTGAGGGTGAAGTGGACAGAGGGGGTGGGGGGAGGGGGTAGATGTGTCTGACGAGGCGTGGAGAGGGTGTCTGTGTTTGTTTAAGGCAAGCCAAGCGTCAAATTCTGTGCTGTGTGATCTAACTGCTGAGGTGTTACTATTTATAGTGTGTGTGGGAGGGGGGGGGAGGGTTTGACGATCAGATTGCTATAAGAGCGATTTAGCGGGAGGGTGAAAGGTTTGTATGTTCAAGTCGGTGTTTATGTTAATTTAAATGTTTAGTACCGGCAGGTTAGGGATGGGTAGGCGTGTAGCTATCACGGGTGTGGGGATACAGTGGAGTTTTAAAGGTCAAAATCCTCCACCATATTCTCAATTAAGAACGAAGAAGAAGAAGAAAAAAGGTACAAAATTGGTTAACAGTGTTCTCATAAAAGAATACACAAATAAGCAACAATAGAATACTGAATGACAAATAATAAATGATGCGAAACAAGGTGGGGCTATGTTAAGTCTATTTGTTCTTTGTTGTTGTTGGTTCCTTTAAGTGTACTTAGTTGTTTTTCGAGTTAAATTTCTATGTGGGCCCTTACGCTATTAATGCTACATGCATATTGAATAGATACCCGCTTAATGTCTTGTTTTAAATATTCCCAATGTTGGATTTTGTTAAATTTTGGTGATGGCCTCGTGTAAAATTGTATTAAGTCTTTTATAGTGTTGAATACGTTTCCGTACTTTAAACATATGACATGTGACTTCATCGATTTCGGTGCCCGTGTCTCAACTATAAACACTTTTCCGGTTGCATAATTAAAAAAATGTTTTTCTGCATTCGAATATGCCTTTATTTTTATTTTTCTTCTTTAAATAAAATTTTGTTTATACTTTTAAAACATCTACCATATTATTTTCAACAAAAGTCCGTATCAAGTTCTCCGTATATCGCTGAAGATACTAGTATGACAGCTTGTAAAAATATTTTCCAGACAGAGAGAGAGAAGTGCGCACATGGGCTTTTATATATTAGGATTCTCTCCCCTAACGACAGTGAGCGATATAACAAAAAGCATGGAAAAAACCTGATTAGTCGCTCGCACAGTCCTTCCGTTGGCCATGTATTCTACTTTCATATACGTTCATGCTAAATATGAAATAGATAAACAAAACTAAAAGTACAGTCTGTTACAATTAGTACCCCTTTAAGGAGAATAATTAATAAAAAATTAAAAAATTCAAGACAAACTGATTTTTTTATGTTGACGCCAACTTTATTGTCAATTGAAAACAGAAAGCATGGTTTTAATGTGTAATTATTAAAAAGTAGGACTCAATAATTAAAACAAAACAATTATTAAAAGGTATTTGTTACATGCACAGGGGAGAAATTGTACCACAAGCGAGCAAAAAAAATAAATAGACAAACTAACTTAAATAAACCAAAAATCCCCATAAAGAAAACGAATTACATGCTATGAACAAATGGAAATAGGATTAAAGTATAACGTTTGTTAATTGGCTTCAGTAAAAGGATAATTTTAAATAAAAACTGTTCGCGCATCGTAGAGACTGATCTCAGTCTACTGGTAGATTACTTTTTTTTCCTTTTGACATACACATAGAATGTGAAGATGTGATATACATTAATACATAGAATGTGAAGATGTGATATACATTAATCCACATAGAATGTGAAGATGTGATATACATTAACACATAGAATGTGAAGATGTGATTTACATTAATACACATAGAATGTGAAGATACGATATACATTAATACACATAGAATGTGAATATGTGATAAACATTAATACACATATATTGTGAAGATGTGCCTCTGTAGTCACGCGAGACAACGTAGTGTGGCTAATCCGACTCGAGTGATCCCTGTACGATCCAGGCGGGTAGGTAGCAAAATCCAATCCCCTTGCATTTTTTCGACGCTGTGTAGGCAAAAGTGAAGCCGTATTAATTGGGCATCATATTGGAAGAGTCAGTACAAGAAGAGCTACAAGTACAAAAACAAGTAGTACAAGTACAAGTAGTACAAGTACAAGTAGTACAAGTACAAGTACAAGTACAAGTACAAGTACAAGTACAAGTACAAGTACAAGTACAAGTACAAGTACAAGTACAAGTACAAGTACAAGTACAAGTACAAGTACAAGTACAAGTACAAGTACAAGTACAAGTACAAGTACAAGTACAAGTACAAGTACAAGTACAAGTACAAGTACAAGTACAAGTACAAGTACAAGTACAAGTACAAGTACAAGTACAAGTACAAGTACAAGTACAAGTACAAGTACAAGTACAAGTACAAGTACAAGTACAAGTACAAGTACAAGTACAAGTACAAGTACAAGTACAAGTACAAGTAGTACAAGTAGTACAAGTAGTACAAGTAGTACAAGTAGTACAAGTAGTACAAGTAGTACAAGTAGTACAAGTACAAGTACAAGTACAAGTACATGTACATGTACAAGTACAAGTAGTACAAGTAGTACAAGTAGTACAAGTAGTACAAGTAGTACAAGTAGTACAAGTGGTACAAGTAGTACAAGTAGTACAAGTAGTACAAGTAGTACAAATAGTACAAGTAGTACAAGTACAAGTACAAGTACAAGTACAAGTACAAGTACAAGTACAAGTACAAGTGCAAGTGCAAGTACAAGTACAAGTACAAGTACAAGTACAAGTACAAGTACAAGTACAAGTACAAGTACAAGTACAAGTACAAGTACAAGTACAAGTACAAGTACAAGTACAAGTACAAGTACAAGTACAAGTACAAGTACAAGTACACGTACAAGTACAAGTACAAGTACAAGTACAAGTACAAGTACAAGTACAAGTACAAGTACAAGTACAAGTACAAGTGCAAGTAAAAGTACAAGTACAAGTACAAGTACAAGTACAAGTACAAGTACAAGTACAAGTACAAGTACAAGTACAAGTACAAGTACAAGTACAAGTACAAGTACAAGTACAAGTACAAGTACAAGTAGTACAAGTAGTACAATTAGTACAAGTAGTACAAGTAGTACAAGTAGTAAAAGTAGTAAAAGTAGTAAAAGTAGTACAAGTACAAGTACAAGTACAAGTACAAGTACAAGTACAAGTACAAGTACAAGTACAAGTACAAGTACAAGTACAAGTACAAGTACAAGTACAAGTACAAGTACAAGTACAAGTACAAGTACAAGTACAAGTACAAGTACAAGTACAAGTACAAGTACAAGTACAAGTACAAGTACAAGTACAAGTACAAGTACAAGTACAAGTACAAGTACAAGTACAAGTACAAGTACAAGTACAAGTACAAGTACAAGTACAAGTACAAGTACAAGTACAAGTACAAGTACAAGTACAAGTACAAGTACAAGTACAAGTACAAGTACAAGTACAAGTACAAGTACAAGTACAAGTACAAGTACAAGTACAAGTACAAGTACAAGTACAAGTACAAGTACAAGTACAAGTACAAGTACAAGTAGTACAAGTAGTACAAGTAGTACAAGTAGTACAAGTAGTACAAGTAGTACAAGTAGTACAAGTACAAGTACAAGTACAAGTACATGTACATGTACAAGTACAAGTAGTACAAGTAGTACAAGTAGTACAAGTAGTACAAGTAGTACAAGTAGTACAAGTGGTACAAGTAGTACAAGTAGTACAAGTAGTACAAGTAGTACAAATAGTACAAGTAGTACAAGTACAAGTACAAGTACAAGTACAAGTACAAGTACAAGTACAAGTGCAAGTGCAAGTACAAGTACAAGTACAAGTACAAGTACAAGTACAAGTACAAGTACAAGTACAAGTACAAGTACAAGTACAAGTACAAGTACAAGTACAAGTACAAGTACAAGTACAAGTACAAGTACAAGTACAAGTACAAGTACAAGTACAAGTACAAGTACAAGTACAAGTACAAGTACAAGTACAAGTACAAGTACAAGTACAAGTACAAGTACAAGTACAAGTACAAGTACAAGTACAAGTACAAGTGCAAGTAAAAGTACAAGTACAAGTACAAGTACAAGTACAAGTACAAGTACAAGTACAAGTACAAGTACAAGTACAAGTACAAGTACAAGTACAAGTACAAGTACAAGTACAAGTACAAGTACAAGTACAAGTACAAGTACAAGTACAAGTACAAGTACAAGTAGTACAAGTAGTACAATTAGTACAAGTAGTACAAGTAGTACAAGTAGTAAAAGTAGTAAAAGTAGTACAAGTACAAGTACAAGTACAAGTACAAGTACAAGTACAAGTACAAGTACAAGTACAAGTACAAGTACAAGTACAAGTACAAGTACAAGTACAAGCACAAGTACAAGTACAAGTACAAGTACAAGTACAAGTGCAAGTACAAGTACAAGTACAAGTACAAGTACAAGTACAAGTACAAGTACAAGTACAAGTACAAGTACAAGTACAAGTACAAGTACAAGTACAAGTACAAGTACAAGTAGTACAAGTAGTACAAGTAGTACAAGTAGTAAAAGTAGTACAAGTACAAGTACAAGTACAAGTACAAGTACAAGTACAAGTACAAGTACAAGTACAAGTACAAGTACAAGTACAAGTACAAGTACAAGTACAAGTACAAGTACAAGTACAAGTACAAGTACAAGTACAAGTACAAGTACAAGTACAAGTACAAGTACAAGTACAAGTACAAGTACAAGTACAAGTACAAGTACAAGTACAAGTACAAGTACAAGTACAAGTACAAGTACAAGTACAAGTACAAGTACAAGTACAAGTACATGTACATGTACAAGTACAAGTAGTACAAGTAGTACAAGTAGTACAAGTAGTACAAGTAGTACAAGTAGTACAAGTGGTACAAGTAGTACAAGTAGTACAAGTAGTACAAGTAGTACAAATAGTACAAGTAGTACAAGTACAAGTACAAGTACAAGTACAAGTACAAGTACAAGTACAAGTACAAGTGCAAGTGCAAGTACAAGTACAAGTACAAGTACAAGTACAAGTACAAGTACAAGTACAAGTACAAGTACAAGTACAAGTACAAGTACAAGTACAAGTACAAGTACAAGTACAAGTACAAGTACAAGTACAAGTACAAGTACAAGTACACGTACAAGTACAAGTACAAGTACAAGTACAAGTACAAGTACAAGTACAAGTACAAGTACAAGTACAAGTACAAGTGCAAGTAAAAGTACAAGTACAAGTACAAGTACAAGTACAAGTACAAGTACAAGTACAAGTACAAGTACAAGTACAAGTACAAGTACAAGTACAAGTACAAGTACAAGTACAAGTACAAGTACAAGTACAAGTAGTACAAGTAGTACAATTAGTACAAGTAGTACAAGTAGTACAAGTAGTAAAAGTAGTAAAAGTAGTAAAAGTAGTACAAGTACAAGTACAAGTACAAGTACAAGTACAAGTACAAGTACAAGTACAAGTACAAGTACAAGTACAAGTACAAGTACAAGTACAAGTACAAGTACAAGTACAAGTACAAGTACAAGTACAAGTACAAGTACAAGTACAAGTACAAGTACAAGTACAAGTACAAGTACAAGTACAAGTACAAGTACAAGTACAAGTACAAGTACAAGTACAAGTACAAGTACAAGTACAAGTACAAGTACAAGTACAAGTACAAGTACAAGTACAAGTACAAGTACAAGTACAAGTACAAGTACAAGTACAAGTACAAGTACAAGTACAAGTACAAGTACAAGTACAAGTACAAGTACAAGTACAAGTACAAGTACAAGTACAAGTACAAGTACAAGTACAAGTAGTACAAGTAGTACAAGTAGTACAAGTAGTACAAGTAGTACAAGTAGTACAAGTAGTACAAGTACAAGTACAAGTACAAGTACATGTACATGTACAAGTACAAGTAGTACAAGTAGTACAAGTAGTACAAGTAGTACAAGTAGTACAAGTAGTACAAGTGGTACAAGTAGTACAAGTAGTACAAGTAGTACAAGTAGTACAAATAGTACAAGTAGTACAAGTACAAGTACAAGTACAAGTACAAGTACAAGTACAAGTACAAGTGCAAGTGCAAGTACAAGTACAAGTACAAGTACAAGTACAAGTACAAGTACAAGTACAAGTACAAGTACAAGTACAAGTACAAGTACAAGTACAAGTACAAGTACAAGTACAAGTACAAGTACAAGTACAAGTACAAGTACAAGTACAAGTACAAGTACAAGTACAAGTACAAGTACAAGTACAAGTACAAGTACAAGTACAAGTACAAGTACAAGTACAAGTACAAGTACAAGTACAAGTACAAGTGCAAGTAAAAGTACAAGTACAAGTACAAGTACAAGTACAAGTACAAGTACAAGTACAAGTACAAGTACAAGTACAAGTACAAGTACAAGTACAAGTACAAGTACAAGTACAAGTACAAGTACAAGTACAAGTACAAGTACAAGTACAAGTACAAGTACAAGTAGTACAAGTAGTACAATTAGTACAAGTAGTACAAGTAGTACAAGTAGTAAAAGTAGTAAAAGTAGTACAAGTACAAGTACAAGTACAAGTACAAGTACAAGTACAAGTACAAGTACAAGTACAAGTACAAGTACAAGTACAAGTACAAGTACAAGTACAAGCACAAGTACAAGTACAAGTACAAGTACAAGTACAAGTGCAAGTACAAGTACAAGTACAAGTACAAGTACAAGTACAAGTACAAGTACAAGTACAAGTACAAGTACAAGTACAAGTACAAGTACAAGTACAAGTACAAGTACAAGTACAAGTACAAGTAGTACAAGTAGTACAAGTAGTACAAGTAGTAAAAGTAGTACAAGTACAAGTACAAGTACAAGTACAAGTACAAGTACAAGTACAAGTACAAGTACAAGTACAAGTACAAGTACAAGTACAAGTACAAGTACAAGTACAAGTACAAGTACAAGTACAAGTACAAGTACAAGTACAAGTACAAGTACAAGTACAAGTACAAGTACAAGTACAAGTACAAGTACAAGTACAAGTACAAGTACAAGTACAAGTACAAGTACAAGTACAAGTACAAGTACAAGTACAAGTACAAGTACAAGTACAAGTACAAGTACAAGTACAAGTACAAGTACAAGTACAAGTACAAGTACAAGTACAAGTACAAGTACAAGTACAAGTACAAGTACAAGTACAAGTACAAGTACAAGTACAAGTACGAGTACGAGTACATGTACATGTACATGTACAAGTACAAGTACAAGTACAAGTACAAGTACAAGTACAAGTACAAGTACAAGTACAAGTACAAGTACAAGTACAAGTACATGTACATGTACATGTACAAGTACAAGTACACTCATAGCAGAAACACATACACGTTTCCTAATTCTATATTTTAACATCAACACGCCTACCCTTCCTTGAAAATACGGTTCGTACATTCATATGTTAGGCATTAGTCAAATAATTGTACCAAAAGCAGCATGTTACTTATTGCATCCTTTCCCCATCCCCCCCCCCCCCCCCCCAGACTCCTGGTGAATTACAAAAACATAGCAGTTGCACTTACGACAATCGATTTCATCGTGACGGTTTCCACAGTCATTGTAGTTGTCACATTTTTTTTTCTTAGGAACACAAAGAGGTATACTCCCACAGTGGAAAGCGCCACGGTTGCATTTTTCTGTAAAACGAATTAAGCTAATTTTTTTTTAAATTTCGTCTTTGAATAGACAAATCATATGATAGAATTACTTATCGTTTTGAGGAGCAGCTAAAATGAATATCAAGCAACTTATTAATAATTTTGCAAAGTTAAAAGCATGGCAAAAAGACAGATCTAACTCAATCATGAGCAATTTAAAAAAAAAATGTGTTTGGTTAGTTGCGTCATAAGGTCGGTTACAATACGGGTTTACTAAAGGTGTCACTCCATCGCCCCCAACAACTGTGCACTTTCGGTGAAGTGTTAGCCCTCTCTCACTTATCTTTTATTATTTTAGCTGGATATAACACAGTTTTGACAGTAAATTTTACAATGTTTTGTGATGGTGTCGACTAACGATCCATTGGGCAGGTGAAGTGGAGTTCATATGTTTCTTGACCTCGTAATATAAAGGGATAATGTGGTCAGCACTATGCCAAGCTACCTTTACTTTCCCTAACGTGAGTTAGGTACCTATTACTGAGTTGGGTGGACTCAAGGACGTTCCACTAACTTGAACCCGGATTCGAACTCGAAACTATCGGGTTATCAGTCTAGCGCTCCCACGCTACTGTGTTTGGTTACTTTAAAAAATTAACCGTAAGCCTGTAACATTTTTACAAATCTACGGGGTTGTAGGCCTTCATTATAATATAGTATAAATACACAATCAGGACGGATAAAATACATAATGTACAGAATATTTATATTATTGAAAACCCTCAATCTTAAGTAACACTTGATTCCTTCGTTTAACTCCATTGTATCCAAACGTTGACGAATCAGGCTCACTAATAATTTTTGCATAGGGGCCCAAAAATCCTATTTACGCTATTGGCTCGATCTAAAACTCTCGCTGCCGTACCGTCTATCTGTGCGCACAGACTTAACTGTTTTGAACCGAGAATTTCTGTCTCAGCCAAGTTAGTTCGTTTTTCTAAGGAGCATGATTTCTTTGTGTTTATGATTTTAAGTTGTCATTAACACCTAATAATATCTATAATATAAGCGGCTAGGTAGTGTGTCAGTCCTTTCGTCATCGCTATAGATGTTGGAACCATAAAAATAAACACATCACATGTCGTGTTTTTTACTTGCATCGCAGTGTCTTATTTTAGTAATAGAGTAGGGTTTGTTTATATAACGACTTAAATTTTTTTTTATAGTTGCTACAGTTTTTACTGTTTCGAATAACGTTAAGAAAATATTAAATACACGCAATTGCAAAAACATATTAAACGGATCAATGTTAAATATCATTTTCGTTTAGAATATTAGAATCTTAGAAAAAGTGGATACATTTTAATAACAGTAGGTTCGAAACAACTAATTAATTAAACTGTTTTGTAATTTTGTCATGGGAGGTATTTAAAAATAAATTCAACCAGAGTTTCTTCCAGGCATCTCTTCGATGGGACTTCGCCCCCCGAAAATTTTTTTACCGCCCCCCCCCCCCCCCCCGAACTAAATGAAATTTATATAATTTATATAGAAAATATATACTTTTAACAGTGTCCGCCCCCCCCCCCCGAAGAAAGTTTACCGCCCTCCGTCCCCCCCCCCGGAAAATTTCAAGTGCCCCCCCCCCCCCCGGAGAAAAAAGTCTGGAAGAAACACTGAATTCAACTCACGCTAATAAGAAAAAAAATGTTAGTGCAAAATCTCCAAGAGGGAATTATTGTTGGAATAATATAATTAGCAAAATTTTAATGCAGATTCTGCAGACGTTTAAGAGGACATTATTGTTAAAATAATATAATTAGCATGGATTGATTAAAAGCTCTCTTTTATTTATTTTAATCACTGAACGTACTGTTATTCTAAGAGGACAGTATTGTTAAAATATTATAATTAGCATGGATTGATAAAAAGCTCTCTTTTATTTATTTTAATCACTGAACGTACTATTATACACGCGTCATCTGGTTCATTAAGTGCGCAATGTGTTTATTCATGAAACTTTTGTAAATTCTTTTAAATTTAAAGTAATGAAAAAAGCATGAATCGATGAAGTGCAATATGGTAGGTAAAACACGGATATCTTAAATACTGCCTTTTATTTATTTTATACACTGAACGTACTGTTTACTTATTATTAATATATCTTTCGGTTTGCGGACAAGCTGGGTTTTTTATAGTGATTCACTGAATCAGGCGCGTCCGCAGGCGCTCGGACAGGGTGCTGTTTGGCGTCACGGATTAGACTGTGAGCAATATGCGTTTATGTGTGCATTTAAGTTGTGTTTATATTATGAGTGGTGGTTGTTTTTCTTTTTTTTTGGGTTTGCATTTGTATTTCAATTGTTGTGATTTTGTTTTCATTTTGTGTTTTTATTTGCGTTTGGTTTTTCTTTTGTGTTTGTGTTTGTGTGGTGCGTTTGTGTTTTCGTTTGTGTTGTATTTGTGTTTCCTTTTGTTTTTGTGTTGCGTTTGTTTTTTCTTATGTGTTTGTGTTTATGTGTTGCGTTTGTGTTTTCGTTTGTGTTGTGCTTTTGTTTTCTTTTGTGCTTTTTTTTTGGGTTTGTGTTGTCTTTGTGTTTATGTTGTGTTTGTGTATTCATTGTATTTTTTATTTTTTTCTGTGTTTATGTTTGTTTTTGTGTTTGCTTTTGTGTTGTGTTGTGTTTGTGTTGTGTTTAGTTTTATTCTATTCCCAAGTTGTTATATTTGAAAAAGATTTACCGTGGTGAAGCACGGGAATGCAGCTAGTCGAGAATCTAATTTTGTGCTCAAATTTTATTTTTTGAGTTTATTCTACACATAATGAGATGGATTCTAGTAGCGATATTTAAGTATGGTTTTAAGTAATAATTACTTATGGTTTACCTAGTCAGTAGACCGTCCCTGAGTCCACCCAACTCTGATGGGTACCTAACTCCTGTTAGGGAAAGTAAAGGCGGCTGGGCATAGTGCTGACCACACTATCTCTTCATATGCGAGGTCACAGAAACAAGTGAACTCTACTTCACTTGCCCCATAGACCGTCAGGTATGAAAGGGGAAACTTTATGGTTTACCTAGTTTCTAAAATGGGCATCAAAGAAAAATGCAACCAAATAAAAAGTATGTGTTTAGTTTTTATTTTTTTAATTTTTTAAAATTCACATGAAAATATTAAAGTGGGTTAAATGTTTTGAAATTGGGTTAATTATAAAAAAATGTGATATTACATTGTTCTCGCAGGTGACAACTTAAAACTTTCTGCTTTTCTTGTACAAATGGTCAGGGGCCACAGATGTGATCATAGTTTCTATATTACCAAACATCCGCTAATTGACTTTAAAGTAGATAGTAGCTTCTGAGTTGCATTGTAGTGTCTGTCGCATTGAATTCCTGGAGAGGCTGGTCTGTTCTTTAGTAAAACTAGTCAGATAAGACTGATCAGTTTAGAGAGGCTGGTCTGTTCTTAAGAAAGACAAGTCAGATAAGACTGGGCAGTTAAGAGAGGCTGGTCTATTCTTTAGTAAAACTAGTCAGATAAGACTGGTCAGTTAAGAGAGGCTGGTCTGTTCTTTAGTAAAACTAGTCAGATAAGCTTGAAAATAGTCTGTTAATAGAGGCTGATTACTTGCTTGGTAAGACTGGTAAGAGAGGCTGATTTCTTATGTGGTAAGAGTGTTGTGTTGAGAGAGGCTGATCTCTTACGTGGTAAGAGTGTTGTGTTGAGAGAAGATGATCTGTTGAGGGAGCTGGTTGGGAGATGGAGTCTGGTATCTCAAAAGATTAAACTGATCTATGGTTGGTAAGTCTGACAAAAATATTTTTGTGACTACTGAAATTATACAATTGTCTTGCTTGACAGCTTGAGTTTGCAAGTAAATTTGAAGTAGCCTTCTCGCTCTGCTCTCTCTCTCTCTCTCTATACGGAAACCGGCTCAGAAGATTGACTTCCATTAGCCAGGCAGTCCTCAGTGTTGCAAACTACGACCACAAGAGTTTCCCACACATCGGTCGCTTCTTCCGTTGGCTCTCACCGGGCTTTCCTTCCCCACCCACAAGACGCAGGACGTCGACCTACAGCCTGGTACCCAGCTTGATCGTGGGGGGGGGGGGGGCGTTCGGCCAGATCAAAAACCTCTAGCTGCTGTTGGCTACCACTAGCCATTCCGCACCCATTAGGGGGGTCATGAGCTTGGTCCGGCTAGGGGCACTCTTCCGAAGCCACGTGAAGGCCGCAGCTTACAGTCAAAATATCTGAATATCTGGTTAGGGTCGAGAGCAGACCCTTTTTGGTTCGCGGCAGTCTTGCACCTCACCCCTCCACCCCCCCCCCCAGCTATAATGTAGGGGACTTGGGAGTCCGACGTACCAGGCCCTTCTCGCTCTGCTGTATGGTAGCATCTGTAAATACAATTTCAGATCATGTGATTAAATAATTTCAAGTTTGATCTGAAATGTAAACATAAAATACTTATAATTATTGTATGTTAATTACCGTTTTAGATTTAAATTTAAGTTCCAGGTAGTTTATTGTAGGCCAAACATGTTGTAACTTCCATATAAAACATTTCTTAAAACACGAAGATAAACCCTCAGTCTAAAGCTAGTAATAAATAAAAATAATTATATTTATTGCACAAGTTAGTGGAGATTTGATACGAATAATATGTATATAGATTCTAGAACTTAGACTTAGACCGAGTTTCAAATCATTGCGTTATCTTAATAAAATGTAGACAAGACAGTTTGGTTTCTACAAAATCTAACTGAAAACAGGCTATATTAAACAAATACTCTTTGTTTATTATTCTTTAAAATGATAGAATAAAATAGAATATATTAACATAATTAATCTAATATCCTTACCTTTAAATACTTCGATTGCTGTTGTGTAAAATTGTGCCATTGCGCCGAGCGGGTGCGTTGCTGATCAAAAGTATACTGACAGAAATCGCAATATTCGTTTTGCGCCGAGATTTTTAGCGCTAGAAATAATAGGCGGGTTGTTCAAATGATTATATTTCGATAATCATTCACCAAATTTCTATAATATTTGCAGGCATACTGGCTTTTAAGTTATATATATATATATATATATATATATATATATATATATATATATATATATATATATATATATATATATATATACTAGCGTACCCGTCCCCCACGCTTTGCCGCGGGGATAGAAGAAAGTATTACGAAATGTATAAGAAAGATTTCACCCACGCGTTACCAATCATAATATGTTCTTAGACGCGTGACCGTCTTTTCTAAAAGTGAGTTATTTAAATGTAAACATTGCCTGCACTTAAATCATAAATATTGGGACACAGGCTTACCTACACTACCGCATGTAAACACTGAGTGTACATTAATCACTCACCGAAATAATATGCTAGAACACACTTCGGTGGCTGCCCATGTGTCAGAGACGTACAGTGGCGCTCTCAGGGCCCCCCCCCCCCCCGATTACAGAGGCGTAGCGAACCCTCCCGGCGCCCGGGGACGAACTTTCGATTTGGCGCCCCCCCCCCCCTATATTTTTTATATTTATAATTCAAAATAGCAACTAAAATTAGCTTATTTTGGCGCCCCTAGGGTCGGCGCCCGGGGACATATGTACCCCCCTGCCCCCGGGTCGCTACGCCTCTGCCCGATTACACTACCGCATAGGGCGCGGCGTACGACCCCTGGCTCCTTAAAAGTAATAGGCGCCATCGTGCCAAATAGCATCCTGTTAATAATGATGCAGATGTCATCATTCGCTAAAGTGCCACAAATGAGCAGGCTTTTTTTCTTTAACACGTAAAAAAAGTATTTGACATGTTTTAAACATCAGTGTGACTGATGCAATATGCTAGCGTTACTAATGGTCTATTATTAGATGCTCGATCTCAATTTCTGACTGGATTGTCTAATAGTAGATGATTATTGCATCATTCGCAAAGTGACGAAACTCTACAGTAGGCTCCTCATATTCAAAAAGTTTTTTTTTCATTTTTGGCAAGGTGACGAAACTGTACAGAAGGATTTCCTCGCGTTACAAAGTTATTTTTAGAAGACTGTTGTAGTTTTACCGCTGAATATAGTAGTACTCCTTACTCGCTATGCAGGACGCTCGATTAACGAGTGTCAAGTGCCAACATAGTCGCTCTAAAACTCTGGGCGCCAAACCGTGTATTGACGAAAGTTGTACCCTATATGGCGCCGCCCATAAGAAACTTTAGTTTTCTTTTTCGCAGAAATATTCTCGGGAGTATTCTCATCTACTTCCTAAAGTTTCATGGCACTCGAATGAACCGCATCCGAGTTTTATTTTAAAGACCGTGTATAGAGAAAAAAAATCGCTTCCCCTACCGGGGGCGCCGCCCTTGCAATATTAAACAATATTTTTTTGCAGAACCCTACCATTGAGTGATCTAATCATCTCCCCAAAGTTTCAAGGTACACGGATGAACGAAGTGAAACCGAAATAGACTTTTATTTTTATAAACCGTATATGGAGAAAAATTGCAGCCTCCCGTGGCGCCGCCCTTGCGTAATTAAAAAAGAATTTTGTTTTACAGAACCCTTCCCTGAATTGTTCTAATCAACTCCCCCAAAGTCTCATGGCTATGGGATGAACGTTATTTTTATATACCGTATATAGAGAAAAATCGGACCCTCCCGTGGCGCCGCCCTTGCGAAATTAAAAATTATTTTTTTACACAACCCTTCCCTAGAGTGGTATAATGAACTCCTCAAAGACTCATGGCTATCGGATGAACGATGCCAAACCAAAATCGACTTTTATTTTTATATACCGTATATAGAAAAAAACTAATCGCGCCTTGTCGGGGCGCCACCCCTGCTAATTTTAAATTTTTATTTTCGCAGAAACCTCCCCAGGAATATTCTCAACTATTTCCCAAAGTTTCACGGCGATGTGATGAGAGGTGTAGTTATGCATAAAGGACACACACACACACACACACACACACACACACACACACACATACACACAGAGAGAGACATACATTGCTTTATAAATATACTAGCGTACCCGACCCCCGCGCGTTGCCGCGAGAATAGAAGAAAGTTTGACGAAATATATTAGGATTTCACCAACGCGTTATCAATTATAATTATATGTTCTTAGACGCGTGACCTTCTTTTCTAAAAATGAGTTATTTAAATGTAAACAATGCCTGTTCTTGGATCATAAATATCAGGACACGTGTTTACCTACACTACCGCATGAAAATCTTGAGTGTACATTACTCACTCACCGAAATATATGGTAGAACAAACTTCGGTGATCGCCTCTGTGCCAGAGACTTAGAGGGGCGCTCTCAGGACCCCCACCCGCATAGGCGCGGCGTACGACCCCTGGCTTCTTAAAACTAACAGGCGCCATCGGCCAAATAGCATCCTGTTAATAATGATGCAGATTTCGTCAATCGCTAAAGTGACACAAATGAACAGGATTTTTTTCTTTTACACGTAAAAAAAATTATTTGACGTGTTTTAAATATCAGTGTGACTGATGCAATATGCTAGCGTTACTAATGGTCTATTATTAGATGCTCGATCTCAATTTCTGACTGGAGTATCTAATAATATATGCAATAATATATTCGCAAAGTGACGAAACTCTAAAGTAGGCTCCTCAGATTCAGAAAGTTATTTTTTAATCTTTGGCAAGGTGACGAAACTGTACCGAAGGATTTCCTCGCGTTACAAATTTATTTTTAGAAGCCTGTTGTAGTTTTACCGCTGAATATAGTAGTACCCTTTACTCGCTATGCAGGACGCTCGATTAACGGATGCCAAGTGCCAACGATAGTTGTACCCTATATTTATGATCTAAGCGCAGGCATTAATTACATTTAAATAACTCACTTTTAGAAAAGACGGTCACGCGTAATAGAACATATTATTGGCAACGCGTTGCTGAAATCCTTCTAATACATTTCGTCAAACTTACTTCTATCCCCGCGGCAACGCGCGGGGGACGGGTACGCTAGTATATATATATATATATATATGTAAGATGAACTATAAAGAACGAATTGATTGTGTGAACATCATGGGATTGCAGTTAATGTTAAAACACCAGTTTTAGATTAGAAATAGGATGGAAAGTAACAACAGATCGTACTTTTTATTTTTTGGCGGAAAGACAAGAAAATCTCTGTAAGAAGGAGCTATACAGCTTGCGCATAGACTTACGACAATACATTTCATCTTCTGCGGTGTCGCAGTCTGGGACGCCGTCACATCTCTGATTAGCTCTGATGCATGGACCGTCAGTGCATTCGAAAGCTCTGGTTGAACAACGACCTAATATAAAAAACGAAGTTCATTTTAAAAGATAACAACGTGGCTTACACATAATGATTAGTTCATTTGTAGTAAACTAAAAAGATTTTCTCTCTGCCTTGATTAATTTTAATATATTCAACAATTTTCTTTCAATTATTTTTAAATAGAGCTAGCTGTAGGCAAACTTTAACACATCTGAATGTGAAAAATAAATTACAAATTTCTGGTAAATGAATATAAAGAAACAAGACAATTTATCAAAGACAAATCATACAATTGCGATGGTAACGATAATAAATTCAATAAAAATGGATAGTCGAGTCAATTATACTTAATAAATTTTATTCGGTGGGGGGGGGGGGGGGGGGGTTAAATTTAAACAACCATTTAACGAAGTAATCTTTACTTTAAAACATAACATTCATTTTTGCCTTGAGTTAATTCAATTTAATGTTTCACATACTTTTGTTTTTAATTCAATTATCTTGAGCTCAATGTAAATACATGTATTGTAATGTAAATAAAAACATTCAGACTTTTGTAATTCGGCTTACATAATCTTTTTCCATCTTAAATATAAACAGTCTTTGTTAAGTGTAGCATTCACGGGATGAGCACCCATACATTAATTTTAATGTTATGTTATGTTGTGTTACGTTGTGTTGTGTTGTGTTACGTAGGTTTCATCTTCCTTACTAAAGTTTTTGTCAGTATTTTACAATGACTGTTTGAGAAAGAGATGGGTCTGTGCTAGTTACTTTAGTTTATCAAAGTCGGGTTTTGGGATTAGAGTGATATATGCCTTGTTAAAACCTGTCGCACAGATGATGCATATTTTTGTTGCCTGTAAGTTTAATTAAATATCTTTTATCAAAGTTTTGTAAAATGTATTTGTCAAACAACTGATTCTGGAGCTTTATTTAACTTTAAGTTGTCTGTATATATATATATATATATATATATATATATATATATATATATATATATATATATATATTATTTACATATACACTATTCCAGTGAAGTTGATATGAATATCTTGTCAGCTAAATTATATTATGATGCTGATATATATATATATATATATATATATATATATATATATATATATATATATATATATATATATATATATATATATATATGTTATATATATATATATGTTATGTATATATCTATATACTACTAAAAGTCAAGTTTGTTTACATGTTTGAATATTTATTTGTTTGTTTGTTTGCCTGATTGACTATTGCTCATGGTTGCACTCATCGTGGAAAGCTGTAAAATAGTATGTAGGTAGAGAAAAAATTTTGTTTTAAGACAGACTGTTAATCGCAAATTTATTTAAAGACGTTAATTAATTTATTGATTTATTCATTGTTAAATTAACCGTATTTTTTAAAAAAATGTTAATACTTTGAATAAACTTTGTGGGGATAGTGACGTCCCTTGATGTGTTTACTTTTTTTGGTACAATAAAAATGGCGGACTCCATCATAGACTTTGTGGCCCATTCAAAAGTTTAACGCGTTAAAAAGCAAATTTTCTGCCGGCTATAACTTAAACAATACGTCCCTTTGCTGTATTTATTACGTTCCAACACTTATATCAATTTTCAACTGTCTTTTTCATTTAGTTTTACGATAAATTTCTCTAGATCTAAAGATCAGCTGTCGAAGGAAAGTTATGAAGCTAGCCTAGATCTAGATCTATCTAGATCTAGCCTAGATGTAGGTCACTAGACTCAATGTAAATTCTAGATCTAGACTTAATGTAAATTCTACATCTAGAATCTATTTCAGGCCTTAATTATTTTATATAAATCTTTGTTTGGCTAATTTAAGATAAAATTTAATTTGAAAGTTACTACTACTAGACTTAGATCTAGATCTATGCGCGGAGACTCAAAAGTATAGTATAAAAATTCACTTGTGACGTCACGAGTAAATAGCTAAGCTGGTAGCGTAGTCGGCTCTCATGCATGTGGCACGGGTTCTAGACCAATATGTCGATGAAATTTTTTTTTCAATATTTTTTTTTTAGATGTGAATGATAAAGTTGCCTATCTGAACTTGGCAAGATACAGGGCAGGTGAAGTAGAGTTCATCTGTTTCTTTGTCCTAAGCATATGAAAGGATAGTGTGGTCATATGTTGGGGCGCCAAAATGGTTTGGAAAAATAAATTGAAAGGTTGAGGGGGGTTCAAATCGAAAGTTTGAGTGGGGGGGGGGGGGGTGCACATCAAAAGTTTGAGGGGGGGGGGGGGGGGTTCAAATCGAAATCTTGCGGGGGGGGGGGGGGGTCAAATCGAAAACTTTGTCCCCGGGCGCCGGGAAGGGTCGCTCTGCCTCTGAGTGACAGACGTGATGTTTTTTGATAGATGACCCCCGAAACCCACAGTTATCCAACGGATGACGGGTATTCTATTATATATATATATATATATATATATATATATATATATATATATATATTTATATATGTACATATATATATATATATATATATATATATATATATATATATATATATATATATATATTTATATTTGTATATGTATATATATATATATATATATGTTATATATATATATATATATATATATATATATATATATATATATATATGTTATATATATATATATATATGTATACGAATAAATTTATACATATACATATAGGGTGTTCAACAAGAATAGTACCGGTGCATATTTGTAGCCTGTTTGCAGGTATTGCAAATACACCAGTTTTAGTTTAGTAATAGTAAAGAAAGTAAAATAAAATAAAGATCATAACATTTTTTTGTGAAAATTCAATACAATATTATTCCTTTAACAAGGAGCTATCCAGCTCACGCAGAGACTTACCACAACTTTTTTCATCATTGCCGTTACGGCAGTCGTTTTTGCCGTTACATTTTAATTCTATTTTGACGCATTGCTTGTCACCACAGTGGAAATGACGAGATTTACAAGGGGCTGGTACAAAAAAAAAAAAAAAGTTAATTTTAAAAGATATTTACTATAGCTTACATAGAGTGGCGGAACTATAACGGGGTGGGGGGTGGAGGGGTGGGGGCGAGCCGTTTAGAAAAAAATAATTTCTCGCATTTTTTACTTGATTGTTGTTTTTGTAAAAAATAATACTGTAGCTGCGGTTGGATTATCTTTGTTCTGTAGACACCATCCCGAGTCCTCTTTCTCCTATCATCAAACACACGCTGTTTTTGGCCAAAAAAAAGTCCATCGCGCGGGAAGGACGACTTTGCTTTTAAGAAGCATCATGGTAGGCATATATTGAGAGAGAGAGATTTTCAAAACAGACTAATAGCATTCACACACATGACGTATTGATGTAACTAGTTTTAATTTAAAAAAAAAAAAAACTTTCATTTTTCAAAAACTCAAACTAACCCGAAATGAGTATTCGATGTTCGAACACGCACACGTACACGTACACGTACACGTACACGTACACGTACACGTACACGCACACGTACACGTACACGTACACGTACACGTACACATACACATACACGTACACATTCACGTACATATACATATACACATACATCATATACTTAGACATACTAATTTACATAGACATAGACATAGACATAGACATAGACGTGGACATGGACATGGACGTGGACCTGGACATGGACATGGACATGGACATGGACATGGACATATATATATATATATATATATATATATATATATATATATATATATATATATATATATATATATATATATATATATATACGTATTATAATGTGATCAAAAAGAATATTACAGGTGTATTTTTTTGGCTACAGGACCACACCAACCCCACGACAATTTCCCCACCTCGAATATTTCCTCCCTCGTAGCAAGTACCACTTTTCAATTCCACCATATGAACCCACTCCCTCGGGAATTCCCCCCCACCCCTCGCCCCCCCCCCCCATGTTCAAGTTAGAATCCTTACACTCACTCAAATTCTATACTTTTATATTATCTTAATCCTAACACAAATTAAAAGTCGAAAACGAAAGCATTCACCTCAGCCTAAATCTACCAGACAATATAATTTCTTTAACAAAGAGCTACACAGCTCGCGAAGAGACTCACCACAATATTTTT